AAGCGGGCTGTCCATGCTCGGAAACCATCAAACATGACTGAACTGGAGATGTTTTGTAAAGAAGAATGGTCAAAAATACCTTCAACCAGAATCCAGACCCTCATTGGAAGCTATTGGAAGCTATAGGAAGCGTTTAGAAGCTGCTATTTCTGCAAAAGGAGTATCTACTAAATATTGACGTAATTTTTCTGTTGGGGTGCCCAAATTTTTGCACCTGCCTACTTTTGTTTAAGTAATTACTGCACACTTTCTGTAAATCCTATAAACTTAATTTTACTTCTTAAATATCCCTGTGTTTGTTTGCTATATGATATATTTAATTGAAATTGCTGTTCCAAACAACCAATGATCCATAAAGGAAAATCTTGAAAATGATCAGGGGTGCCCAAACTTTTTCATACCACTGTAGACTAGCGGGATCCAGGCATGCTTGATTGTTCCGCTTAATTGTTTCGTTGACTGTTTTGTTTTGCTTGATGCACCTTATACCCGGTGCGCCTTATGTATGAAACATTTCCTGTTCATTGATATTGCGCCTTATAATGCAGTGTGCCTTATGGTCTGAAAAATACGGTAGTTCACTTTTCTGTCCCCCAAGGGCAAGGTGTAAAACTTCTTAAACCCTACCTTCTTGTTGTACTAGGTATTGGGGAGTAGCAGGTTGCCCATGGAGTAGTGGTTACAATATTACGGTTGTGATTGGAGCTTTGTGGTTCAAATCCTATTCCAGGCATAACTGTGTTTTGTTGGGCAAACACCTAAAACGCCCCTGTTCCCGGGAACACTGTCGTCCATTGTCTTGTTCCACGAACAGGTGAGATGCAGAGGACAAATCTGCTGTGTGTATGTACTCGTTATATATGAGTGTGTGTACAGTGACCAGTCAAAGCACATAAATGTCCAACACATTTTTCTTGAGTATTTTCCAAACAGTCCCCAGCAAAGGTCTTGTGTTCACATGCAGACATTTCCTCGTCATTAATACCTTAGCAGTTTGAGCGACTCATCCCAGATTGTGGTGTTTGTCCATAGATTTATGCAAGATTGTAGGAGTAAGTAAAGCTAAAGTCATCTGTTTGCATCCTGGCACGTCTATTTAGACCTTCAACATTAATGGTAATTAGGATTGCTCCAATAACAGGCCTCTTACTGCACATCTTAAGCCAGTGGTAGTCCACAAAACTGCAATTATTGGCCTGTCTGTGAAGCCATGCAATTCCTTATAGAGTATTGCAAACAACCTAAAGTTTAGTCTTATGAGACTTGACTAAGTTCCTCAACATTCTGACTAGATGTTCTCATCCACCGTGTGTTTTGATCAGCATGTGGTGCTTTGGATGAGAATAATGTTCTATCAAAAATGAGTCAACTCAGTATTCTGCACTTCACTCTGTCCCTGCACACCTTTTTAGGCATGTTTTATGAAGAGAATACATTGGTGTTTAAGTGATAGGACCCCTTCCTTTGAGCTGGGCTGTACTGTGCTCACCATTTTGCAATGCAAGTATGAGTCACTACCTTCCTGGAGGGGATGTTTTCACTGATTTTTAGACAGTGCCTTGGGCTGCCCTCCAGACTACAGAGATCAGCTGCAGTCACCAAAAAAATATAGTCTCTTCCTGCTTTTTTCCATGTTACTCTTTATACTGATGCAGCGTCTCATTTATTCATGCAGATTATTTTATCTAAAATTTAGGGAGGATACACATGTCTGAATTCCGTACTTTGAGTCACAAGCTAGCTAACAACTTGTTAAGGATGGTTGGTTCACTGTCAGCTTAGCAGAAATTCATTAAACTGGACTTACGGAATAACATTATATATGCATGCATATACAGTGGTATGAAAAAGTTTGGGCACCCCTGATCATTTTCAAGATTTTCCTTTATGGATCATTGGTTGTTCGGAACAGCAATTTCAATTAAATATATCATATAGCAAACAAACACAGTGATATTTAAGAAGTGAAATGAAGTTTATAGGATTTACAGCAATAATTACTTAAACAAAAGTAGGCAGGTGCATAAATTTGGGCACCCCAACAGAAAAATTACATCAATATTTAGTAGATCCTCCTTTTGCAGAAATAACAGCCTCTAAAC